AGGACTTATTATATAGCGAAAAAAGATTTCGCTTTAGTGAAAATTAGGAATGACCCGTTGAGAGCCGGGAAAGAAAGCCATTGTGTTTGTGGCACAATAACCCAAGAGGGTCCTTTAACTTTTTCTTTGTTTTGACTGTCTTCCGCTTTATGTGAGTACGGCAATGTCTAAAAGCTACGAACTATGGAAGCCCGTTCAATGCCCCTATTTTCTTGCGTGCGATCAATCCGGTCACGGTCCTGAGCGTGCAAAATAGGCCCATCTTACCCACTCGGGTAGCCAATCAGAACAAAGAATCCGCCTCATCTTGCTCAAGGGCGCTGCCAGATATATAATAATATACACTTAATTATAGTCCTGAGGGAAACAGTTAGTTTTGTTTTCCCGAGAGTGCTGATCTTTCAAGAGACAAGTTGAAGGAAACATCAGGACTCTCCGTAAAAGAAAACTAACTAGTCTTCGGAGGGACCATGAATGAAGTGTGCAGTGCTATATTTTGACTTTTCCTTAAACAATCATATGGTAAAAATCAAACAAAGACGGCACAAGTGCTTTATTCGCAATCGTCGACCCTGCGGGCGGGCAACAACTGCACAATTGTATCCCGGTCAAGATACATTTGAATTCGATCAGGGGTACGTGACCAAGAATCAACCAATCACAGGGCTTGTTTTATATTCACAAGTATATTTATTAAGGCGTGAAATTTATTTTTTCATTTTGTCTCTGGAAGATGAATATAAACAGCAACCAATACTATGCACATTAGGTATGTAATATATTAAATTGAGAATTAACTTATTTCAACCATCTCTTTCTGGGAGATTCAGATCCAAAGACTGGAAGGGGAACGAAGTTAGTTCAAGACAGAGGATCTGAAAGCGCAGGGACATCCGTTGACATTTTATGTAACAAGAACACGCCGGTTACAAGCCATACGGTCCGTGAGAACTTTCCGTATTCACCACGATGAGAAGTGATCTCACTTATTAACGCAGTTGTAATTAATATCCAAGGAAGGAGAGCTTTAAGGTTAGACATAAGTCTTTAGAACATAAACCCTGCGTTCTGCAGACTTAAGCGAGGATCCCGAGGGATCTCATAGCAATTCTGTTTGTCCTCACTCCATTTTTATCGGAGAAACCGAGCGTGCAACTGATTTTTAACGGAGAAACCGAGCATGCAACTGATTTTTAACGGAGAAACCGAGCATGCAACTGATTTTTAACGGAGAAACCGAGCATGCAACTGCGGAGTCCTAGGATTGTAAGGCATATTTGTCAAGAATTCAACCGACTGTTTTCAGGAATGAAAAAGTTGAAGCGGTGTCTATCTCTTCTTTTGTAGAGCTGGAACACTTGTCATAGGTCGCAGAGCTGAAAATAAGCAAGAGAGCAGTCAGCTTTCGCATGTAAAGGAAGAATTCATCGTTAAAACATTTCGACGATTTGCTCAGAGTCAAAACCAACCAAAAGGGAAACAGTGCCGATGTACAGAACACATTTACACTCTTCTGACTCGAAAATAATTAAAAATTTTTTGTTGTGGAATCATTATTGTGTTATTCCCGCGCGCGCCAGTCTATCACATCCTATTTAACAAACTTTTTTCAAAGCTTAGTCGCTGGTCTTATGATAAAATGCCCATTCACTGAGGTCGGGTTGGACGGGAAAATATTTGGCTCTCGTTCATAACGCACGGTCCTCTTTGCGCTCCGTCCGCAAGTCATGGCCTCAAGCCAATATCTTCCCGTTCAGTCCTCCCACAAAGTCCACAATAAGTAGTCTTTTTCTAGTAATAATCTAATCTCTTAATCTTATTTCTACTGTTTATGTCCCTGTTACGTACCGGGATCAGCGACTTTGCCTGCTGACTTTGGATCACTATAGTGAGACACAATTCTCTTATCATTTGTCAGCTGGACATCTTGTTCACCTCCTTTGTTGCTACAATACAACAGCACAAAGGCATTGACAAACAAACAAACAAACAAACAAACAACGGTCACGGGTTTTTTCAAGATTCGGCACCCAAAAGTGCTCTTCAGAGACAAGTACTCCGCACATTAATAGGGACTTTAAGCAGTCAGAACGGCAACGCCACGGAAGACGTCGATTAAAAAATGAGTTTCTACTTTTAGTTAGAATTTTGAAAATGGCTGCATGTGTTTACCGTCTCATAAGGCGCCAGACCTCAAACTCAACATAACGCATAAAAGTAGCGTTGAGTTCCAAATGTGAATTAAAATAACTTGCCGCCGCGGTTTAGCTTCACAGACGACGCAAATTTCGGTGATTTCACGTTGTTGTTTTGCAAAGGACGGCTAAGAAATGTACAAAGTTTGAAAACGCACGTGCTGGGCTATTGTTCTGCCAATTAGATCTATTGTTTTTCCACGTTCTCGTTGCCTTAGCCGTCGTGGTTTGCTTAAAGTCCCTAATCACTAAATGACACAGTTGTTACTACAACTGACGTTGCTGCTACTCTTGTGTCCCATTTATCTCATTCCAACACTGGAACAGTGAAAAAGTACGGGGAAAATTTATTGGGGCATGTATGAAAGGAAATCATTCAATCAGTGTGGTACTTCTATGGAATGGAAAAGTTTCGATCCTTGTTCGTAATGATGACTATTTTTTTTTTAGGTAACAATAACTTTTTTAACGTACTGTATCGATGTTGTAAATGCTACGTGAAACAGAAAAAAAAAAAAATGCAAAAAATCAGTTCAAAGGCCAAGAACGTACGCTGTGTTATAAGCCGGGATACATATTTAAAGTAACCTTCATTTGATAGGGAATAGAAGCGAGAAATTCTAATACTATTGACAGTGAAAATAAGGCAGTTAAATGTGTGGATAGTGTCAGAACAAGCACATGAAAAGAAACTGAGGACAATCAACATTTTGACCAATTAAAGTGTTATCACTTTTGATCACTGTTAGTTTTCACCCAGCTTACCTGAGAACATTTTTGCGCTCTGCCAGAGCGATCTGTTCGTGATCAGTGAACAGTATCGTGTGGTGTGGAGTGGGCAAGTCTATGTTGGGGAGAATTCCTTTGGTTACAGCCGGTACTTGTGGTAGGATGCCATGATACACTAACAAGTCATCCACTAACAGCTAACAAAAAAAAAAAAATTCAGTTCAAGTTCATATGACAGATTCAAAGACTCCTGGACACGTACGACCAAGCGAATAGTATCTCCCAAAACTGAGACTGTGTGCACAAAAACGGAGTTCGTATTCTTTGGAGTTTTTACAATTCTCTAACATGTTCTTTCCTTCCAATATTTCCTGCTGTCGTTCAAGATACAAACATTCATTCCATTTTCATTACTTTCTATTAGCCATTAGTATAATTTCAGAGCTGAACAAAGAGTTTCCAGCAATCTGATTGGTCGAGCGGTTCCCTATATCAGATACAATGAATATATGAAGTTCATATATTTTGAACTGCGGTATTAGATAGGTATGATGCACGATCCTCGCAGTAGATAGCGCTATTTATGCAATAGCGAAAATCAGACCTGAAAAAAAATCAGGCCTGTACGGGATTCGAACCACTGACCTCTGCGATACTAGTGCAGCGCTCTACCAATTGAGCTAACAATCGATTTATCACTTTCACGGGTTTATTACGAATCAATTTAACGGCCTGCTCCCAGTTGGCTTGTTAGCTCAATTGGTAGAGCGCTGCACTAGTATCGCAGAGGTCAGTGGTTCGAATCCCGTACAGGCCTGATTTTTTTCAGGTCTGATTTTCGCTATTGCATAAATAGCGCTATCTACTGCGAGGATCGTGCATCATACGGTRCCTTATATGACGCTATATAAACCGCTCCGCGCGGTTTATATAGAATGTTAAACTAAAATGTTAATAAATGTTACTAAAATCTTATGATTTTAGAAACTTCTCTGTTGTTCAGCTCTGAAATTATACTAAAACAATTATTCGCCTAAGGTTCGGTGAATATTGTCGCATAATCCTCTCGACTTCGTCTGGGGGATTATTCGACGATATTCACCTCGCCTTCGAACCTTAATATATCCAAACTTATTTGTGCCACTGTTCTACTTTGGTCAAAATCTCTAAACAAATGCATCTACAGCTATACATTTCGCTGTTAGTTTCATTCCTTAGATATGGGTACCAGCGAACGGCTGTCCGTGGAACTTGAAAAATACCAGAGAGTAACTCTACGACTAGGGAAAGCAGTTGAAACCATAACCGTTTTGTATGGTATTATGGCATAACTGGGATGACACCCATATTCCAACAGTATGATTACCAGTCTTACCCCAAACTGCTGAACTCCTCGGATCGGCGTTTTACTGTAATTCCAAACTTTTACCATGGAAACTGTTACAGGCTCATCAAACACCACATAAATCAAATTGATCTGAAAACGATCAATAGAAAAATTTGTTAAATGCTAACTGTGGAGTATGCCCATGATCTTAGTAAATCATCATGATAAGCATCATATTTCCTAAAAAGTACTTTTTTTTTTATTTGTTTGAGTATTGTTTCGGAATTTCTTTGGTGAAGCAGTTTTCAGTTAGATGTCGAAAACATTCCTCGACTGCATTTATTTGGCTTTAGTTTGCTCCTTAAAAGGAAACTTGTGCCACGTTCTCAAAGATGAGAAGCAAAACGAAAACAAGTTAGCGGCTTGCTCACTTAGGATTTCACGCTCTGAAGTCCGTTTACAGGTATCTACTTCGGGAGGTCTCATCTGCCCATTAGTGTTGGTGTGTGACACTTAACTAATATCATTATCCAACTGTACAACAGTAGAGTACAAATAACGCTCGAATTGAGTACAAATATCCCGCGATATTCTTCAGTTGGTTAAATTGTACCGTTCAAAAAACCTGTTTAACCAGTCGGTTGCACGCGTTTGTCTGTCTCAAGGCGGAAAGAGGTTGGGCGATGCAGTCGACTGCGACCGACTTCGAACTACATTGACTTTTTCCGAAAATGGTGGCAAGTTTGGTATTGGATGAGCTGAAAGATTATTTGGCCAGGATCTAACGGACTAACATTTCATTTCTACCAATTTCAATAAGTCGTCGTTGAAGTTTGTTATTAATAGGTTGGCAGAAAGAGGGGTGAATACACTGAATGTTGAACAGATTAAGAAGGCTTCCACGCAAACTTTGAAACATAAGTTTGCGACGATCTGACACCCGTCATTTAGCGAGTGTGTAAAAAAAAAAAAAAAGCGCGTTTATTTTGATGGCGAAACTCATGAAAATACTCAGCGATGCTACACAATGAAACGTCCAGTAAGTAACAAACGGTCCTCACCATTCCCGGCAAGACGGGAGCCAGCCACATGTGTCGTCCATCATAAGTGTCATTCACACCGTCAATCAACTTATCAGGAGTTCTTGTATCATCCACTACTCCTGGTAACACGTTCACACTGTGAGGATGAGCGGTTATGTTGTTTTCCGTGAGGCGTATCCTGTAGCCATTTTCATCGTAAAATTCCAGGCCATTAAGACCCACGTAGTAAGGGTCACCCCAAGTGGAAAACAGCTGAAATTGAAATACGACTAGAAAGAAGTTAAGGAAACGTGATCCACAGAGAGTATATCTACTTTGTTCTCTTTCGAATGAGAAAATGTGGTGTTTTGGGCAAAAAAAGGTTGAAAAGTTAACGACTTCAATTATTTTCCCTTTTGTTTGGAGGGGTGACTTAATTGATAGCTTATAGTGTTGAAACTTTCCCTTTTTCAGCTCTTTTTAGAAAACGATTATGAAATGATTGAATGAAAAAAAGCTGAGCTTAAGAGTTATTTCTAGGTTATTTGGAGTTTGAATTGAATTGAATTGAAATCATTGAAGTCAACTGTAAAATGACAGTTTTCCTTTGTCTACACTATGCAATCAAATTGACACACAACGTTACCTAGGATTGAAGGAGAAAATTGTCAACAAACTATTTTAAAATACTGATAGGTTTATCAGTCTGTGCTCTAGAAGGATACAACCACAGGGCATTAACGTGGGTTCATAGTCTGGCATAAGCTTTTTCAAATTCACTCTGCTTTCAGATCTAAAGACAGAATAAGTAAGGGTAAGATTAACAAATGTGGAAACTAGCAAAACCTAAACAACACCACTTCAGAATCAAATAAGGACTATGCATCCCGCAATGCTCTTTGGTGTTGCTTCGATAAGTTTTGGTTTAGTTTAAATGTTCGGTGCATACGGCGAACAGTTGTCGATTTCTCCGAAAGAGCATGAGGTCACTGCCGGCAAGCTTCGGCGTCGATGATTTATGTACCCCGTTACTAGATAACATTGTTGAAAAAATGCCAGTGGGCTCATTTCAACAGAATTAGTAGGAATAACGAGTGATAAAAACAGCTATTCACTGCACACGATGTGAAAAAAGCTACAACAACTGACCAGCAATCAGTAAACGTTGCAAATAAAAGACGCCTAAACATCCCATTACTTTCCAACCGTAAAGAAAAGCAGTTCCCTTCATAGTGGTAAAGAATCTAATGAAGAAACAGTTACAATACCTGCGTTCCACGTCCTTGGTCATCGCACCTTGCACTGCATATCCTCTTGTCGTTTTGATAAAGAAAACATCCTGGCCATGATCAAAATGCATATTACCCGGCCCTGCAACACAATTGTATGAAAATATAGAGATGTTAGACGAAAGAACGTCCATAAATATTGTGGAAACGTGTGCCATCTGAAACAATCGGTTCACCTTTTCGCAAGAGAAATCCTTCAGGTGGTGAAATATTCCTATCATCCAGCTTAACGTGAACTTGTTTGGCCTGTGAACGATAAGAATATACGTAAGTTACATTGTAATAAAGTTACAAAAAATACAAAAACGTAATCACAAACTTAATTAGATTAAGAAAAAAAAACTTGGTGAAGAGAGACACTTGACTATCTACGTGACTCAAAACATACGTATTGCTGTCCCTGCTGTCTTTGCGTAAAAGCTGCTCCACTTGCTTTTCAGACGTTGGAGTGCAATGAACAGCTTTCGTTTAATTCCTTTGTCACTGAATACATACCCCTCTAAAGGAATCATCTGTGGACTTGTTGTAGTTCCAAACTCTGAATCCCACTAATGGGGTGATTTGTCCCAAGTCTATTGTCAGAAGATGATCCTGTCCGTCAGTAAACGGTATCAGCCACATGTGTTCGTCACTCATTGTCACGTTTGTTCCATTTATCAATCTGTGGGGCAACAATCAAAAGTTAAAGTTAGACAAAGGTACTGGAAAAAACCAGGTGAGTTCTGCTCCTCAGATTTTCTCAACCTGGGTTGCCCTTGAGATGTGATATCAGAACGGCAAGTAAAATATATTTGCAAAATAGTAAAGGTAAAGCCCGCAACGCGAGTCAGTGGGCTCACACTAATGGAACTTATCTACTCTGGTTAAGTAACAGCGAAAACTTAGGACATGTACTGTTCTTTTCAATTGGACCATTTTGATAGATCATGAAGGTCAGGTTTTCTTGACAGTTCGCGCAGACTCAACTGCGAGGTGAGAAACACCATGACAGACAGTAACCTGTTTTGCCAGGGAACTGAACACAATGCTCCTCGCTAGAGTCAGATTAAGGCCTTTCGACCACTAGTTCAGTGCGTTGATTATTACAGATTAAGCTTACATTTGAAAAAATCATAATTAAAATACTGAAATAAATGGATAAAAAAATGCCAGACACAAACCAAAAAAAAGTTAAATTTAACAAAAACAATTAACAGTACAGGCCTGAATTATTTTCAGGTCTGATTTTCACTATTGCTTAAATAGTGCTTTACTGCGAAGGATCGTGCACATATACGTTTCATAACCGCAGTTCATATATATGTATTTCATATGTTTGTTGTTTGATTTATCATCTACGGGTTTATGTCGAATTAATTTGATGGCCTACTCCCAGTTGGCTTGTTAGCTCAATTGGTAGAGCGCTGCACTAGTATCGCAGAGGTCAGTGGTTCGAATCCCGTACAGGCCTGAATTTTTTTCAGGTCTGATTTTCACTATTGCTTAAATAGTGTTTTACTGCGAAGGATCGTGCACATATACGAAAAAACAATTAAAGCTGCCGCTGGTCTCCCAACATTGTTCAATCGAAGACAAGATATTGTCATTTTAATGTTTAAGGTTAAGAATAACCTATGCCCACAATGTATTACCAATCTTTTTAAAAGATAACAAAGTAACCATATTTCAGAAACGCTGATTTTATTTTGCCGAGATTCAACAAAGTAACGTATGGAAAACATTCAGTGAAATATTTGGGTCCAAAGTTATGGGCCAGGATACCCAATAATTGTAAATCAGTTAGTTTAAAGACTTTTAAAAAATACATTAGAAATAAGGATTTAAGCACCTTAATTGACGTGGGCAGTGGGTGCAAATATCATCTGTGTTCAACTTGAATATTAACTGTTATTAGCTTTTACAATTTTACTCAGATACATAATTGTGGGAAATTGGCGTAACAGCTGCTAGAAAGTGCTCAATACACACGAGTGTAGAGTGAAATACAATTCAAACTGACTAAAATGAAACACACATGATTCCATGTAACTCATAGATTTCATAGAAAACGAAAGCACGAAACTCAGAGTTACAGGGAATCATGTGTTTCATTTTAGTCAGTTTGAATTGTACTCCGATACATACACTTTTAATATTCATTCCTTTTGTAGATAGCTTTTATCTTGAATCATCCCGTATATAGTTTTGATATATTGTAACTTATCTTAAGTGTCCCCAATTAGCAGCAATGCTAAATCTTTGTAGACACATTAATAAAGTTATGATGATGATGATGATGATGATGATCTCACAAAGGTATCAACCTGAACACTACACTTTAAATGCTTTCACAAACTTGACCTGAGTACTTACTTATCCAGGGTTCTATCGTCATCTTCATATTCAGGAAGGTCGTTAAGATCTCTTGGAGACGCCTTGTTGAAAAAAATCAAGGAAAAATGTATCTGAACCTTACTTATAACATCATTTCAGATGCAAATACTTAGAATTATTTACAATGGAAACTCATTCTCGGGTTTGTTTCACGTGGACACGAATTACGTCATTCCGGAGTTCTTAGGAGATTTCGTTAAAAAAGGTAAACCTAATGGCCCATCATTTTTCTCCATATTCTCATTCTGTTCAGAAACTAAATTGAAATTTTTATTGCCACAACGATTTTTCAAAAAAGCGTCTTCTTATTCCTGCGAAACCTTACTGCGTTAACTAGCATTTTAGACTAGAAGTAATACATCTATTCGTTGACGTACTTTTCGATTCTTGAGTCGCCAAATTGAGATTTCCGTTAAAGGAAGACTGTGGGCAGTGTACCCGTTAGTTTCTCTTCCCAAATAACCAATATTTATACAACTTGTGAGTTAATCCCACATTATAAAAGAATGAATGCTCAGAGTCCTCTCCACCCGCATTCGCTGTATCCATTCACATAACCGAAGCCATTACTCTCTATTTTCAGTGATTAAAGTACCGATAAACTTATTCTATTCTTCCACACCCTCACATCTATCCCTTGCTTTACAATGCATCGTAACTTACCGTCAACATACTGAACGAAACAGGAACGGATTCTTGATTAGGTCCCAGAAGGTCGATTCCAGTAAGTCCCATGTAGTACGGATCTCCCCACGTCGAGACAAAATTGAACTGAAGAACTATAAAACAGAAAAACAACCCAGTGATTTTTGCGTTTAATTGACGTTTCAATGGGAAGGTGCTGGGTCAGACACCCTGTCATGTCGATCTATTTCGTCCCATGCGTGTCCAAAACGAGAGAAAAACAGACTCTTAGCAGTTTAACTATACTTTACCTCGGCCCTCTACGAAGTTAGCAGAACTGTCTGGGACATCTTCTGTTAATTTAGAAATTAGAAGAGGAATCAGTTCAAAGATAACGTTCCCTTGAAGTATTAATTGGATTTAACCAAAGGTGCAGACAATCGTTGACAAGTTATGCTGTGACTAACCTCCGGGTATAAGTTCTGGAGCAGGTTTTGATTTCTTTACATGCTGTTTGGCTGACGTAAACGGTCGATCTCCACTTGTCTTTCAACAAATAGAAAAAAACAGAGACAAATAAGAAAAGCCGCGTCAATTCAAGGCGCATTAGAAAATTGAACTTCATGATGAGGTAGGGGAGCAATACCTTAAATTTCGGCGACAAACTTTTATACTGAGGGGTGGTGGTGAACTACGCTACTTAATCACGACAGTTACAGGTGGGAAAGGCTGATGAACAACATCTCTTCAACTCGAAAATCTACAATATCATATTATCATTAAGATACACACGGAAGGACTACTACAATAGGTTAGTTCCATACCCTTTCTTTTATGTAAAAATTTAACAAATCGACAGTGGTTTAGGGTGATCTGTACTGTGATCGACCACGATATTCGTCATCACAGCGGTCAAAACGTTGTGGACCCACGAGGTGCAACCGAGAGAGTCCACAAAAAATTTTGACCACGTTGGTGACGACTGAATATCGTTATCGATAAGAATACAGACCACGTTAAACCACTGCCGATTTTTTTTCAACCACATTTTTTTAATCGCAATATTGCGCGTGATACGTTGCGTGACAAGCTGACGCGGGCAGCGTCGTCTGTACTCTAATCGACAACGGTAAATTGTTCATTGACCAATCAGATTGCAACATTACTGCCAATTGTGGTAAAAAATATATATTGTTACTCCATAAGGCTTCTTTTTGGGAGGAGATTCTTCTGCCCCCAGACAGATGTATCATAAAACAGGGGATGTAAAGCTACACTCATCCGTCCATATGACAACAGAAAGGTTTATAAAAAGTGCATATCTCACTCCTTCCTCCGCCTGATCTGCAGTGGATGGCCGTTCAAAGTAACAGCTCCGTAGCAATTCGTCTTCATCCTCCTCTTCTCCATCGTATGTCTGGTCGTAATGAGCCATGGCTTCCAGTATTTCTTCATCCATCGTGAACAAAATCGTCTGTTAAAAGGCATAGAGAGTAATTTCGAAACACAGCTATCTCAAATACTGCAAGTGGGTACAATCCGCGGGTAAATAAAGAAAACTGAGACAAAGGTTTTTCGTACCAAGTGAGATGATACCTAAACATGAAACCCCCATTGCAAATTTGAAGCGTAATAATAAAAAAAAAAAAAAGGGTTGAATGCGCAATAGAACAGCCAAGAAAACCTTTTGCTCAAAGAGAACAGCGTCATACACTTGCAGCAAAGAAAACACGAGATGCGGCAAAAAAAAAGACTTTACGTAAGTAACATAACGCAACTGAAAAGTATGACTTTCCATTGAGTTGTCGACAATCCTTTTGTCGTGCGAAGGGCACTATAATTCCATGGATACGAACGATGTAAATGTTCAATACCAAATGAAACCAACGATCAGAGAAAACGTTAAAGATAGAAAGTTTTGAAAACAGCTGTTTTTATTTGATACCACATAACTGGTTACTTACGTCGCCAAAGGCATAATCAGCTCCAAGAATACCACTAGCGCTGCAGATTTAAAAGAGCGCAACCGTGATTACAAAAAATGAACATTACATTCTGTTTAGACAGGAGGATAGTCCTGACACTCGGATAAACATGCAATTGTCGTAGAGAAAAAGAGAAATAGACTGTGTTAAAGTAACTCAAAGAGCTTTTCGTTCTACTGTCGTAAAAACCGAAATCAAAGTTATCTCAGCGTCCAGTCCGAACAAAAGTAGATATAACGAGGAACTAAACAAATTTCCTGAAGCGTGATAATTATAAGTGACCAAATCGCAAATGGTTAAAGTTTAGCGTCTGACTGGTTGAGAAGGTAAGCGTCAAAAACAAAACTGATGCAATCCAGGATTTCTTTCGATACTCAAAAGAAAACTCCCCTTCGTCACGAAATATCAAGTTTCCTGCATCTTCGCACAAAAAAAATCGAGTTCGTAACATAACTTAGTCACAGACAGCCACATCATAGACAGGTCTACGTTTCTCTTTTCTTTCTTTCTTTTGTCAAGAAAAACGCATAACAAAACAGGTCTCCCGAGTAAAAACCACAAATATTTGTCCAACACAAAAGAAGAGCAAACAGTACCGCGCTATTTCTCCCTGAAATATCAGACTTCCATCAAGGGTCATGTCAATACATCGTACTCCTCTGAAGGAATGAATTCTCGATTTATTGTAATTCTGAAGGGACGAAAGACATTACTGAGTTAACTACTTTCTGACAACAAAATTATGTTCGCGCTAAACGGATTCAGTCCGTGCCCAGCACCCGTTAACGTATCTCTGTAGACAGAAAACTCCAGGATCATGGCGATAATGCTAGTTAAATTAAGCAATATATTTTAACGACGAAATCCTGCATTGTATGAACAGCTTACCCATATTCTTATCATAGCAATCCTTATGCTGTCAGCAAAAGTAACACTTATACCATGTTTTCCTCCAGGTGTGAACGGAGCCAGCCAAAGATGCATATCATCTCTGTTCAACAAAATGTAATAATGCGATAAGTTCCCCACCATATTTCCTATTAGCAAGTACAACCAGACAATCGCGTGACGTGCTGAGAAAAGTAACTCTTTACCTGGTGCGAAAAACCCCATCAATAAGATTGGTGACTACTCTTGGATCATTACCGTATTCGGGAAGGATGTTAATATCTGGAGGATCTGCCGTGATCTAAAAGGTAAATCATAATTTCACATATCTTGCAAAGTAAAGACCTATAGCTGCAATGGAGAATTGTACACTTTCACCATGTCTATTTGTGTAAATGTTATAACAACAAATACCCGAGTCAGGAGCTTAACATGACATTACACCAAGCCTCCCTCCATATAAGAATTTATCTATTATTCCATATGCGAGTTCCTCGCACTTCATCAATTGTTTCTTTGTATCCTACAACTCAGGAAGAATCCTGTACATAATTTTAAATATAGTCAGACTCGCGATGCGCGAGTTTTTTTCTAATTTTTCTTTCACTCAAACCTTGTACCATTACTCACTGAGGTAAAAAATACTCTTTAAGGTGGCAAATTTACATTTTCAACTTCGTTGATAAAACCAAATTACCTGGTTACCCCTCACTTACGACGGACCACAGTTTCTTTAGAAGCTTGCCCCCTTTTACAAATACTTAGTTCGCCAATAAGACAGTCGCTAACCTCTACAATTTCTGCAGGTTTGCCGCAATCCGTAAACACCTCAATTCCATTGAGTCCCACATAGTTTCTGTCTCCCCAGGTATTCTTGATGTGGATCACCAACTGCTGTCCTTTGGGAAGTGTGGGAATCTCTAAATCAGTCAAACCGCTGACAAAACAAAAGTCAGAGTGGTAATGATCATTACAACAGCAAAAAAGAATAATAAACTCAACGTCTGAAATTTAAGAAAAACGCCAGGGGGGGGAGAAGGAGGATTTTTGAGGGGGCGATCAAATGGTTTTCAGGGGGAACGGGGGAGGGAAAATCAGTCCTCACCGACGGAGTCTTAAGAGGGACTATAGAA